CGTCGGTGTCGCTAGTCTTTCACTACCGACGCTTGCGCTAGGCTTCTCTGGCTCGTGCCTCATCGGTGTTGATATCGTGATTCGCGAACGCGATTGGCTTCGCTAACCCTCACAACACCGGTGACAGCCTGGAAAGTAACGCGCATACTAGCGGGAAGCATGCCGCAATGGCGTCCCGCCCGTCGGCGCGATCGCGCGGCAAGCAGCGGCGAGCTGTCCACATTGTCGGCATTACCAGATTATCGAGGCGCGCGCGGCGTGCGCACCCGCAGGCTCGTGGCTTCTTCTCGCTGACAGATGAAGAGAAGTGGCTCGGGTGAAATGTGAGCCACGTGCGAAGTGGGCTCGAGTGTTGCGAGTGGTGGAGAGGGTAAAGTGAGAGAGAGCTGACACTTGGCGAGCGCGTGGCAGGCGAGGGAGAGACGTCACCGCACACTGCTAGAAGGGCGTGAGCTGCTTGGCACTGCTCCAACACCTGTGGTGAGGGGGAGTGGTGTGGACGGAGGGACAACTTAAACAGGCTATTGAAAGAGATGCTTCCCATCTAAAAAAAGAAAGACCCATACAAGCGTTGTGTCGGGTAGGTAGGTAATAAACTTTATTAGGATCCAATGAGGAATCACCGGGCCGGGCTAGGCCTCCAGAAACCGTCGTCCGCAGAGCATAGTGCGATGTCCTCAGTGATAGCCCTGGCTCGCTGGACAGCCCAGATTTGGTCCACTGCACGTGGGCTGAGACGGGCGGCTCGCGATCAGTTAGCCAGTCATCCTGGCATACACACACGCTCGTCCGAGTAGTAGCGGCGAACACTGCACTCGCACTCTCAAAGTATATGCGTGATGTCTGCTGTCATGTGCCCGCACCACGTACAGCCGGGGCAACGTGATTTACGGTTCCAGCGTTGAATGTCCGCTTTTATAGCAATGTGGCCCGCCGCGCTAGTCTAGTGGCTAAGGTAGTCGGCTGCTGACCCGCAGGTCGCGGGATCGAATCCCGGCTGCGACGGCTGCATTTTTTATGGCAGCGAAATTGCTGTAGGCCCATGTGCTCAGATTTGGGTGCACGTGTGTGGTAAGGAACCTCAGGTGGTCTAATTTTCCGGAGCCCTCCACTACGCCGTCTTTTATAATCATATGGTGGTTTTGGGACATTAAACCCGACATACCATTCAATCAGTCAATCAATTGGCTTTTATGACAATGTAATAAACCTTGACTCCGAAAGCTGTAGTCAAGCATTGCTCGAATCCACCAACGACCACTACTTATAATCCATACACCATCGCACCATAGCGTGCACTTTGTTGCGATAAAAGTGGCACTTCTCTAACTTTACTACCGATACCTGAGAAGCCCTTGGTATGTGCACAATCACTAAATTGACCCTGAGATATCAATAAGCCTAACAATACTTCACTCAAAGCGAAAGATCTAGCATAGGCTGCTATATTCACCGACCGCTTCGCTTGGGATCGATTTCTACAATGTAATAATAATAAATGATGGCGTTCCAGGATTTACCATATGATTATGAGAGACCCTTTAGTGGAGGGCTCCGGAAATTTCGAGCCGATAGTGTGTTTAACACGCGCCTGTGTACACGAGCGTCAAGCAGTTTCGCCTTCATCGAAAATGCGGTCGCCGCCGTCGGGATTCGATCCCATGACCATCGGGTCAGCTGTCGAGCGTGACTAAACCATCATGGCGGCCGATTCCCACAATGTGTAGAATCTGCCCGAAATTTTTTTCACCTGCTTCCTTTCTCCACTTACAAGAAGGTAAAGTAAAACGCGATCTTTCTACGCAAAATGATTTGGCGGGCAGGTGCAGACTAAAATGTGCACTAGAATTGCAGGAGCCTCGGAGGTATATTTGTAATGCAGCTTTATGTTCAAGTAAATCAAGCCAAGACATAAGCACTTTTTTTCATGCGGCACTGTAAACGCTATCAATTTCTTTTACTCCGAGTTTAACTTCGAGATCCCAACAACTTGTTCTATCATAAAACGATGTCAAGGGCGCTCGCTATAAACCGCTACGAAGGGTGTGCAAGATAGACAAAATATTGACCTCCTCTGCTGCAGACATTTCTTTCTGTTGGACGTGACCGAATTGTTGGCAGACATTGCTCGAATTGCGAAGCTTTGGTTAGCAAAAGAAAACACCCAAACACAATCCGTGCAAGCGTCGTTGAAGGCGTTTCACACTGATGCAGCGTGTACTACGGGGCGCAGAGCCATGCGAGCGATATTTAATCCGCGGAAACATAACGACGCGGTAGGAGCTTGCAGACAGGGACAGCGACGAGCAGGCGAAATTCCGGGCCCTGTTGCGCGGCCGATCACTCTTGGGACGTCTTCATACGGCGCAGCCATTGAAGCCACTCGCGGCCGCTGATATATCACGCTGATATTGCGCCGCTCGCGCGCGTGCGCCCGTGCATCGCCGCGGCGAGGGATGACAGCCGGGCGGGAGGATGACGCATCGGAGGTCCGAGTGCGCGGCCTTTCAGGCGGCCGACCATTGGCGGCTGGGCACCGCAGCAGCCGAGATGAATGGTGTAGCGCGAATACCACAAGCGAGCAAGATCGAGAGATGCACCGCCGCGGTGGCGTGCTTAGTTTGGCGCGAGTAAAAGTGCGTCCGCAGGAGAGCTCTCCTGCTGCCGCCCGAGGACAGGAGAGCGGCGGTCTCCAATAATGCCGTCGGCGCCGACGACTCTTCTGTGACATTCATCACGCTGAATAGGAGTTGGCCCGTGCGGGCCAAAACTCCTTGGCCATCCCTCCATTGCGGTGCTGCTGCTTTTGTTTCCCGTCTCCTCCTGGCAAGCCCGTCTTATCTCGCCGGTGGACGGACGACGCCGTTGGTTGCTTAATCTCGTCCCTTACGCTCACCGCGGACGGTTCGGGTCATCTTGTACCGATGCGCGCTCTTTGTTCTTGCTTATTTCCCGTTTCTGTCCCCTTTTCACAAATAACGGGGCCGCAATCAGTGATATATAGGCGTCTTATATGGCTGCGGAGAAGCCTGGTGAGCGCAATATGAAACCCATAGAGATGCCGTCGCTATCGCGCAGCCGCCCTCTCATAGAGTGATTTATAAGTTCTCGAGGTTTCACAACTGCCAAACTCACTAGTTTATTGGAGGGGAATCCCGAGTAATGCTAGGTAAACTCGTACGTGGGGATGCTCTGGTACGTTTCCTTTGATCGCGAGCAATACTTAGTGCACCCATGCATTGCCCCATTCGTAGAGAAGCCATTGAGTTAACGGAGCGCCTACCGCAGCAAAGCTATCATTGATTGCATGCCTGGATCTTGTCTGCTGCATGAAGCTCGCTTTTATAACAGTAATCCATTCAAAAGGGCTCATTTTGGCATTGGAGCATAACAGCCATATTGGAGCCTTAAATAAAAGTAAACAGCTGGGTGGGTTTGAAAGCTCTATACCGACATTAATATAAGGCTATACCATTAACGTTCTTCGTAAGGGAGGATTCAAGTCAATTGCTAAGCACTACCTAACATCAGTGCATGTGACCAGCAACGGTTGCGCTTAATAAACGTGTAAAGTACGCATATTCATTATTCCGTTTCTCAACAGCAGCAAACGAGTTGACGAAGTAAACACTCGACAGTATAATGTCTAATCTGAAGAAATCACAACGAATGTCCATGTTTTCAGCTTCTTAATTGTATTTTCGCTTGTCGTTAATGATTCGTTAGTTGAGAAACATTACAACATGAAAAAAAAAAGAAAGAATATTAGACAAACAGTTATGAAGGCCGCACTCCCTGTTGGACTCTGTTCACGCGAAGGTGTTTAGCTTATCGTGTACACCGGTGAGCCAGCAAGGCGAAATGACACAATACAAAAAAAGACACACCACAGATTTCAGTTACGTCACCATCTTTCTGCCACAATAGCAAACATTACAGAGCAAATACAAGTCTTACCGATCATTGAGGATTGTTGAATGTCGTTTCACCATACCTGGTAGAGCTTGCACAAGTGTGTCACAACGCCAAAGTAGGCGATGAGGGAACAGCAGTAGGGATTACAGGCTGGCTAATATTTACCAATTTAGCTTCATTGTCTTTCGCGTGTAAACTTCATAGACAAAATGGTCAAGCGCTCTCAATGATCAAGAGCTACGCAGAGTGACACACGTGGCGATCATCTGAAATAGCTAAGTGATACCACAGTATACACGCTACTGTACTCAAATGAATAAAGAGTATAGCGCTGTGAATGCAGTCACACAATTCAATTTTTCTTTAATGCAGCTATTTGTCAAGACGGCAGCCGCAGCACCCGCGAGTCATCATCAGAGAAATGATGTATAGTTTGTCAGTGAAGCGCTGCTTCAAAAAGTAAGGAAAACATATGGGAGAAACTTAAACTAAAACAGCGAACTTCATAGCAAGCAAGTAACACGTGGGCGTATAATAGAATTTAAGGAGCGAATATTGAAAAGTAGGAAGCATTTCTAGCCAAATTCTCAAAAACTTTTCGTTCCAATAGTTATTTTTGCCACCGGGGGTGCATCTCCGCTGATAGGTTCAGTATACGAATAAGCTTGATTCTTCTGTTATGAATAATCCTAGCGCAACAGATTTTAGAGATAGCAGCGTCTGGCTTTTAGGCATAGAAGTCACTTGTTTGCATACCAGAAGGGGGGGGGGGATTATTGTAAACCTATTATCATCGGTGAGAGGAGCCCGCACAATTATGTATTCGACGTGGTCATATCCCCCCCCCCTTTTTTTTTCGTGCAAGTAACACGCGTTAAGGTGCACCTATTATTCACTTATTAATAATCCGTGTCAATGACGGCTTAATGCCGAGGGCAAGCTGCAATATTCAGCCATGAGATCATGAGCATTGAAATAACTATAAAGTTAGATCTTTAGTGCTTGTACTTTTTTTTACCCTGACGTGGACCGTATGTCGTAGACAACCATTACAGATACTAATAGACTGATGTTCTCTATTTCAGGAGAATCCGCGGAAACTGGACTCGGACTCTGTGGTTGGATCCTCACCGCTCTGTCGTTCGTGATTGTCGTGGTCACCTTTCCCTTCTCATTGCTTTTTTGCATCAAGGTAAGGTAATATTTGAATTTTTTTAGTGGTCGGTTTGCGCTTCCGATTTTCTTTCCTACCAATTTGTTGGTAACTGCTATAAGCACAACTTGTTGATGAGAATAAGTTGGGCCCATCATGACATTGCTTAACAGCCAACGTCGTATTTCGCGCACACACAGCATACGACATTGCTTGGCATATGTGCCATATGTGGCGAACTGGCGTCCTATGGGGCGCACACACATCTGCAGGCTGCATCGCGTGTAACTATTTGAACTCAACAGAATATAAAACTTGGCCAGTTGGTTAAGGTTTATGTTAAAAGCGGTGCCGAAAATGGCGACACTAGGCAAACATCACTACAGGACAGATTGTTAGATAGCTTACAACTGATTAGTGTATCCCGAACAGAAAGGAAATGTTTACAGTCCGCTTAGCTTACGCTGAGGTGTTCAGAAATGAAAGCATATTCTCTTACGGGACGCTCATTAGGTTCTCTTACAGTTCGTTCACTGGTAATTCATACTGGATTCATTGTAATTACCTGTAGTAATTACTTGACTGGTAATTTGTTCATTTTCATTAACATCGAATATAGGTTATGCGCTGATTGTTTCTTCTGATAGCTTGGATATCTTGGTCACTTAGGACATCCTTACGACGTAACTCCTTTCGAGAAAGACGTCACAGAAACGAGTGCAACGTTGCGTCATGTAATGTTTTAATAAAGTATAGCTGCACCATATGCAGTGAATATTCTTATTATCTTTTTTTTTTGAATCGCAGGTCGTCCAGGAGTACGAACGCGCTGTTATTTTCCGTTTGGGACGACTCCTGCAAGGGGGATCGAAAGGGCCCGGTAAGGAAACATTCGCTTGTCATGCGTCACTTCGCAGCCTGTAACGTGCACGGCAATGTATGAAAGACAAGCAGTTATGACGCGGGTACTTGGTATTCGGGCACACACCTGCCCTTCTTGAAGAGAAAGAAGCCAAGCTCCAGAAATAGAAGCGCCGTTGCAAACAGATGCTTCCACTTCGCTTAGGACAGCCACCGATGCTGCAGTCTTGTTTTCTTCTTTGTACAATTTTCATCCGTGCGACAGTCTTTGTGCTTGCCAGAAGCTATAAGTATCCTGACTGGCGGTTCGTTCTTGCAGGTATCTTTTTCATTCTCCCCTGCATCGAAAACTACACCAAGGTTGATCTCAGGACGCTAACCTTTGATGTTCCACCCCAAGAGGTAAGATTTGAGGGTGGCTTCTTAGTTCATATTCTGTGAAAATACTCAGAGGGACCTACAATTGGTCCGAGCGCGTGATCGGATCGTAGTAGAAGGGAAAAGAGCATGAAATATAGCGACATATACCTGCATTCTTTTCACGTTGTGACTAGGATTTATATTTTCACTTATGCTTCAAATTAACAAAAAACGCCTTGTCAAGTAGCCTAGCGGAAGAGCCTTGAAGCTGGGCTATGGAATATAGAGTCGATCACTTTCCTGAACGTGGTCGCCTAGTCTGATGCTGTCATGCGTGCCAGTATTAAAAATTAGAGTATGTATATTATTATCCAGCCCTACTCAATTTGTGCTGCTTAGATAGAATAAGGTTGAGTGACAGGCAGGGAGGAATTGTGCTGTTTACGATGTCAAAGGAGTAGCACGGTGAAAAGCGGCGCTGCCATCGCGGCCGCCAGTAGAACAAGTCGAGCCGTGGAGTATGCGCGCGGAGTGCACGCATGCGCAGTAAACCACCACGCTCGAACAAGAACCACCCGCAAGCTCTCTGCTTGCCGCATGTGAGCACACGACTTCATATTCCATGCAGATAGAAAAACTCTGATTACAAATATTTTGCGGCGTTTCCCACTTTACCATTCCGAGATCGGACGCACTGACGGGTAAGATTTCCTTGGGGCTAAAAAAAGTTGGCACCATAAAAAAATGATTGTTGGTTCTTCTAACCCTTCCACCACTTTTCGGGTCTCCGCAGAACTCGTCTGTTTTACTTGTGTCAATGTGCTTAGAGTTGTCGATGAATTTGCCCTCACGCTGCCAATGTGCTAGCTTCCTGGTTAGCTCAGTTGGTAGAGCGACTGCCTAGGAAAGGCACTCGTCCCGGGTTTGATCCCCGGACCAAGAAAGTTTTCGCAACAAGGGGCTTTTCTTTCTCAGCAATTCGTACGGGTTTCCTTGTGGCTTCCTGCCACAAGCGGGTGGTTGTCTAAATTCCCTTTATTCGTTGCAATGAGTTGCTTACTTTTCAAATACGCAAGTTTTTATGAATTGTTAGTAGATAAAAAAGAGAGGCCAAGGAAAGGCAGGGAAGTTAAGCGGGTTGTACCTGGCTTGCTACCCTACACAATGGAGGAGAAAGGAGAGGAAAAAATAGAGAAGGAAGGAAGGAAAGAGAGAAGAAGTGATATGCGTATATACATATATGTTATCGCTCACTACGCACACTTCGACAGTCACAAGTGGGACGTGTTTGAGACCAGTTCCTCTGCAGTTATCTAAAAGTGGACTAGAATCAAAGATGTTCACTAAAAGGCTGGCAAAAACTTACTCTGAAAAATCCAACACTTGTCTTGCGCACTACGCTGATTGAGTTGTCATTCCATTGAGGAGAGTGCATCGTGGTCATCAGAGGCCTCAACAATGCAAGGACTTGTCGGTTTTCTTTATGAAAATTCTCTGTGGACGATGATGTACACTGCGGGAAATTCTGCACCGGCTCCTTTTGAGTGCGCAGTGGTGGAAGTGAGGGCCGCGCGCGACATCAGCCGCCGCTTTCGAAGCCACTGTACTATTTAGGTTCTCTGACTGTGATGCATTGGGCGGTGGTGGTGGTGGCACTGGTGGAAACTGTTGCTTGAGGGAATGTTCATAGACTGTCGCTGAATGAAATCGCGTATTAGTCAACAAATTTCATTTACAGGTGAATATCATGCAGTAAGAGTAAACACACACACGAACCTTCCACTGCGAATCATACTTCGAAAAGGCCACTTTTTCTGGGGTGTCATTAAAGATTGATGAAAGGAGGAGGCGCATAAAATGTACAAATACACCGCGAGGATTTTCGCATCTCTCACGGCCGCAACGTTTGCCTTTATACCACTTGATGAATAGTGGCCAGGAAACTTCGGCAGTGAGATAATGGTGTACTTCAGGAATATTTCATATTTCTTTCAACATGCATTTGATCACAAAAAAGTAAATCTCATCTCATTTCGGTTACAACGTCAAGGAAGAAAACAAGTACTGCAAAATTTGAACGTTCGGTTAAATATGCAGCTGACAACGTATCGGAATCAACTTAAAAAACAAAAAATATGTCCTCACATGGATGACACTGTGCATTCACCATGGGTCATTACCTACACCCACGAATGAAACCAGAGAAATGGCGACAGCTGCACTGCACAACTATCATAAAGGCTTTTTCCTCCCGGTCGAGTGTGACAAAAGAAAGCGAACTGATTACGAGACATATGAAAGGTGCTGGATCATCAGTTCAGGAACGCGCACATGTTCCTCCCGATGCTTGGCGCCACCTTTTGCATTTCTAGCTCAGCGAGGGAACACGCTGTTTATTTTTGCTGTGGAACATCCTCGGCGTGGTCTTTGGTCCACAGCGGCACGGCTTAACAGCACGCACCGACGGGACGGCACCGTGGCACACGCCTGGCACCGGTTCGCGGCACGGCACATTCGTTAGCCGCTTCGTCGCGCTATTGATTCGGTTACAAGCAGTACGAGACGCTCCGTGTAGCGTGCAGCTGGCGGTCAAGAGGGCGAATGGTCAGCCCTCCTTTTTGCACGCTTCAATTTTAATGCACGCCAAATCACGGCGTGCGCCGCCGCCCCCCTTCTGTCGCCCGGAACCCCTCGCCACAAAAGTGGAGAGGAGAACGGGGCAGTGAAAAGAAGCACGAAAGGAAGTCGGTGCAAGGGGGTGCGACGGTGTTTGGGGTGCGATAATTTGGGCTCTAGTGTGGGCAACCGAGCCTAATCTCGTTAACGCCATTAATGCAAATGAGTCCCCTCACGGGGTGGAGCACCTTTCGCGCGCACACTCGTCGTGAGTGAGAGACCTCGAGAAGATAGACCGGCACCGACTGCGGGAGCGTCCCGCGTATGAGCGAGCACACGCCGGCCAAATTTCGGCCGGTGATTTCGGGAACCCGGAGCTCCACGCTGTGCGAAAGAATCCAGAAGTAAACGCTAAGTTTTTCCCCGTATGTGATTCGTTGCGGTCGTGAGGCTATTATTGAAGTCGTATTTCACAATGCTATTTCAAAGATAAGTAACACGAAGCCAATGCATGAGCCAACCAGCACGAGTCGACTGATATGGGGGATCAAACGATACGCCACGAAACCCTGTTTGAACAAAGCACTTTCACAGTATAAGCCTGTAAGTGCTATGTTCTTTTAGAAGCAGACCTAGCGAAGAGCGGTAAGAAGAAGACGACACAATTAGCTGCTTGTGAAAACTCAGTCGCGTTCACTACACCTCGACTGAGCAGGCGATGTTGGTCTATCGCTGCACTCACCGTCGCTCTTTCGGAAAAGACACAAAAAATGTAGCGTCCAGAAAACATGTTTTAGGGCCCCGTTGACGCTCTCAGAGTCCCCTTAATTTTAAAGATGGCTGCTAGAGATCGCGCTCATAGGAATGGCAAGGTACATCTAACTCGTGAGGGGCATATCGCTAATGACTTCACCTAGCGGCAGTGCTGTAGAAACTAGCTTCGACCCTATGTCATACATCAAGGGTCACCTCCAGCGTTCCCATCATTGTGAGGGGCATCACCCTGCATTGCTCGAAGCCATTAGCACACCCAAATATGAATTCAATTCAATACTGATCAGAAAACACTAGTCTAATTACGCCGGGGTCCTCCAAGTAGTTTCGCTAATTATGCAAACTGCCTGCTCTCTTACAATCAAACTCAAATCTGAGCTCACGCTGGCGCATTAAATTGGTATTAGTGCCACGACGGAGTCACCGTTCATCCAGGATCACTGTATGGGGACTTTTTTTTCTCCTTCGAAGCAACAATATCACGCGAACAGTAGGGTGTGTTGACAAGCCAGTTGGTGCGATGGCATCATTAAAAGTACCACTGTGTACGTGTGCTCCTCTTCCATGTCTGTGTTATTCGCGCTGCCTTTAATGATGAAAACAGGGTCCCAAACAGAAAATAAGGAATACTTATGAAAGGTAGCGATATAAATTGGTAGTTCCACTGTACTTTAAACATCACAGGTGACCTTGTTCCAACTAGCTATCAAAGGTGTTGGCAATACCAGATTCATGGCGGATATTTTATATGTTACGATGTATTACAATAATTAGTCTGAAGCTTACTTTTACGTAAGTTACGAGATAAAGAGTGAGTTCCTATATTTTCTGGTGCTTTTTGTCTGTTTCTTTGACGAACTGTTTGTGGTCGTTCGTGAGCACATTGCGCCAGCTAGATTGGCATTCATTCTCTTAAATTCTTGAGCGAGGTAGATGGAGGGGCAGAACAAGTCACGCGTTATCGTTGAGTTGATAACACTGATAATTCTTCGTGACATTGCACGTAATTCCAGTAGAAAATAAGGCAATGATCGGGCAAATTCAACGAACACAGAACTTCAGGAGCATATAAATGACCGTAAAACTTGACATACGGTAAACACTAATTGTTTACTAGGCAAGCCTAAGGAAGTCAACAGATCATTATATAAAAGAAAAACTGAGGTGGCTACGTAGTAACGAGTGGGTCGTTGAATGCTTCCAACCCATTACAAAGGGCTCAGCCAAAATTCTTCATCGTCATCTGTCACCACCTCCACAAGGTGCACATAATGCCTTGCAAATGAGCAGCCTTTGGCTCGTTTCTCCTCCACAGAATGACGAATGATGGCGTAGTGAGGGCTTACCAACTTGACAAAAGTTATGATTTATGATGTAGTGCGTATACCTTGCAAGCGTAATTGTAATAATAGGCGCAAGATAGTTTACAACGGGTTCTAGAAATGCCACTTTTCTAGCTATTGCTGTGATCATGCGGCGCATATTTCACGTAGGCCTGGTGTTTTTTTTTTCTAAATTACTTTGCACGTGGTCCGCGGAGGCTCTATGAAAATCGGGCTATCTTTTGAAAACCTACAAATCTGGTTCCGCAAGTAGCGAGGTGAACTTCAACAAAAGACGCAAGCAGGAAAATTCAATATTGCTAAGCATTT